GCTGCTTCAGCCGGAGCATGTCTTGACGGCTCCTGCCAGCTATCCCGTGGATGGTATCATAGAGTCTCAAAATTGCCACATGATGGCGCGATGAATGAATTTCAAGGTCAAGGCGGCTGTTGGCCAAGTTTATCCTAGTGGACTCGGCACAACTTATCACTGCCAGCCGATTCCAAAAGGATATGCTAAGGTGATGGTGGATAAAATAACGGAGGGATTTGAGGACCTCGTGCTTGACCATCCTACCGGTGAAGGGGAGACTAGGCTGGGTTCTGCTCTGAAGACTCCATGCCTATGGAAGAAGGAGCTCATCAACCTTCTGAACTGGACGCCTCCGCCTCCTCCTCCTGCTCCGGCGAGTCAGGGCACTCCGCCTCCTCCACCGCCTCCTCCTCCGGCGAGTGACGATCCGGGCACGCGTGGCGGCACTCCGCCTCCTTCTCCGGCGCATGGCGGCACTCCGCCTCCTTCTCCGCCTGCGCCGGCGCTCCCGAGCAGCCAGCAGCATCCTCCTTCTCCGCCTCGCCAGCAAGGGCGGAAGAGACCCGCCGCCGCCCCGGCTGCTCCGGCGCGTCATACTCCTTCTCCTCCGCCTCGTAAGCAAGCACGAAAGAAGACAGACGCCGCAGCCGCTCCGTCTGCTCCGGCGTCTAGCAGCACAACCAGAGGCGGGAGGCAATACAAATACGGTCCATCATCTCTCAAGCCTCTAGAGAAGTTACCGTACGAGAGGTCCGAGGAGGAAAACGATACGATTGTGCAGGCCCACGTGAAGGAGTTCTTTGAAGTGGTGAAAGCAAAGAGACATCCACCTCCGGAGGAGAAGGTAGATCCGGTGAAAGCAAAGCGCACTATCGATGCCCTGAGGAAACCACCGAAGTCTCCACCGAGAACCAACTATGAGCGCATTACTGAACAGACATATCTCCAAGCCCAGCGGTCGGGAACTACTGTCAGTGCTAAAAGGTCAAAAGAACGAGCAAAGGGGAAAAAATTGCCCAGCTCGGCGAACAAGCACAGCAATCGTGCCCCCCGCTCAATGTGTCTAATGCTACGGGGACGGTGGCCGGTTATGGCAATCTTGACGATTACCTGCCTGACGATGCACTTCCTGATTTCTTGAAGGTGGACGGACACAGATACGAGTACGGGAAGCCTCTCGTCAAAGATGAAAAATCTCTGACAACAATGATGCGAATATTTCATAATTGGTACATGGAAACCTGCAGAGAGTCTGATGGTAAGAATGCTTTGTATCTGCATATTAAAGAGGAGCACGATCTCATTGCAAATGATCTGTTGACTGTTCCATTTGAGGAGTTCTTCGAGTTCTTCAATCAAAAGGCCCTCGATAAATTAATGGTCTTTTGCTACTGCCTGTAAGTACTATTTCTGTCATTAAGTCTCTATATATAGCTCGGCTCTTTCATTGCATGCATGTATTTATAATTAATTATCCTCAATATATTATGCAGATTGAAGATCGTCGAGTGCAAAAAACAAGAAATTTATGATATTGGGTTCATTAACACAAATATCATAGATGTATTTCTGGTTGAAAAGAACGTCAAAGAGGCCGAGGACAACTTGCTACGATCATTGATAAAAAATCAAAACAAAGATACCATACTCTTTCCTTACAACGGCCCGTGAGTGTTACTGTCGTGTGCATATTCGGTTTCCCTTATTACTCAAGCGAGGTTATAGTAATGTAATTGATGAGTTATGCATGCGTGCGCAGGTACCACTATATTCTTCTGGAGATTAAGCTTGAGCGTGGACTAGTAACCGTCTTAGACTCGAGACGGAAAGATCCCAAAACCTATGCGGACATGACTGAAATGCTCAGCAAGTAAGTTCAATCGATCATAATTATCGCACCATATCGGTAACTTTTTGTTCATTTCCTGATATCTCAAGTAATAATAATTATTTTCTTTGTCTTGCAGGGTTTGGAAACAGTTCACCGCAGAAGCTCCAGGACTGCCGAAGGAGCTGCAATATACATACCCGAAAGTAAGTACTACTGGCTAGTTAGTTGCGCGCATCTCCCGTTGATTCTATATATAGCTATACTTTCATCAATGCCATTTATAATGCTTCATTATCAGTTTGATTGACCTCTATTTCTCGTAAAGTGCTTGTGGCAGGAGGAAGGGAATGATTTTTGTGGATACTACGTGTGCGAGTTCATCCACACCGCGACTTTGAAAAACAAGCGGGGCTACTCTCAAAGACAATATGAAGTGCGTAAGCAATAATATTCACAATTTCATTTTATAACACCATCATTTCTGTTGAGTTTCATTCATATATATGTATTAATTAACCCCCTTCTTCAAATTAGACGTGGCAGATGCGGAATGAACTCCTAGAACCAGATCGCATGAAAGCAATTCAAGAGGAATTGGCGGGATTCTTTCTTGACCACGTCATCAGTAAAACCGGAGAATACCATGTGGAAATTGATTTCAAATGCTAGGGGTTTGTAATTAAGAGATCTTATACATATTGTACATGTATGTAGCCAGTAGCATCGGATACATGATACGAAAACTTGTTGTTCGACCAACCTCTCGGAGAAGGAGAGGTCGATCGATCACTTCTCTCGGTATGCATGACGAACTTCTGTACTGAATGGTTCTCTCGATCACTTATGTATATATAGTACGTAGCGTCCAAGCACGGACATAAGAGAGGACACTTCTCTCTATTAATTAGCTAGCTAACACAATATATGAAACACCTAATTAAATTAACCCCCCAAAACCCCCAACCTCCCCTCCTTTCAAAAAAACACAAAAACCCCAGCAACTCGAATGCTGACGCGTGGATGCATTTTGGTCCCGGTTGGTGCCACCAACCGGGACCAAAGGCCCCCTGACTGGGGTGGGCGCACAGAGCCACGTGGAGGCACATTGGTCCCAGTTCTGGATTGAACCGGGACTAATGGATGGAGGTATTAGTAACGACCCATTAGTCCCGGTTCATGAACCGGGACTAAAGGCCCTTACGAACCGGGACTAATGGGTTGTTTTCTACTAGTGCTTGTCCAAGAAAGGGCAGTACCCAAGCACCGGTCCACCCACATGTGAAATTATCGAAGTATCGAACACGAATCATACGAGCGTGATGAAAACTAGCTTCACGATAATTCCCATGTGTCCTCGGGAGCGCTTTTATCATTATAAGAAATTGTCCAGGCTTGTCCTTTGCTACAAAAAGGATTGGGCCACCTTGCTGCACTTTATTTATTTTCATTGCTTATTATCCGTTACAAATTATCTTATCACAAAACTATCTGTTACCTACAATTTCAGTGCTTGCAGAGAATACCTTACTGAAAACTGCTTGTCATTTCCTTCCGCTCCTCGTTGGGTTCGACACTCTTACTTATCGAAAGGACTACGATAGATCCTCTATACTTGTGGTCATCAGGTGCCCCCCAGCGTGTCGGGTTCGGCCTTGCTCCGCCGACGCCAAATTTGGCCCTAACTGGCGAAAAATGGGCTTCTGGGGGCGCGACTGGGCCAAAAAATTTCACGCCAGCGATAAAAACAGGTCTTAGGGCCTGTTGGGGGGGTGCAAGTGGAAATGCTCTTAGAGAGCTAGTCATGAAACTTTGTGAGAAAAGGAGAAGGATTGGAATGAAACTGAAAGGAAAAAATTATTCCAACCATCATTCAACAAATTCATAATAGGACAAGGGGACTTAAACATTTGAAAGTTGGGAAATGTGGAGTTGCAAGTTGTGAGGTGAGGGACACAAGTAAATACAACTTGCGACATGTTCTCAAGAGTGACCAAAGCGAGTGCACATGCTTGGAGTGGCAACACATAGGGAAGCCTTGTGAACATGCACTAGCTTTCTTGCTAGATAGAAGGAACCCAAGATGGGAGGACTATGGGCATGACTATTTCTCTCTAGAGAAGTTCTGGGCGGCATATGCTGGAGAGGTTGAGCCATTGACAGATAGGTCTCAATGGCCACATGTAGAATTTCCATTTGACATGGAGGCTCCAATAGATAAGAAAAGAGGTGTTGGAAGGCCTAGAAAGAATAGGTATAAGAGCTTCCTCGAAGGTGGAGATGGTGGTCCTAAAAATAAGAAAGAGCCAAAATAACTAGGCAGCAAGAATAGATGCAAAAGATGCCACATTTTAGGCCACAGGCAATCCACATGTCCGTTAAATGGACCAAGGCCGAGGTATCTGAAATGATCAATGTTCATTTTACTACTTGTTTAGTATGTACTAACTTGTTTATATTTGTGCAGGAAAAGAAAGAAGAGGGCACCAAGATATCCAATAGGCACATGATCACTATGCCACAAAGTCTTCAAAGCAGTCCCAATCTAGTAACAAGAAGGTAACACATCCACATACTATAGCAATGTCTATTTTGACTTGCACTTATTACATTTCTAAATACATGCAACATGTTGGCTTCGGCGTTGGTTGATGAGGCAACACATGCAGCACCATAACTTCATGTGGTTGTCACTCCAACAAGGCACATGATCACTATGCCACAGAGTCTCCAAGGAAGTCCCATGTTGGCCATGACATTGGCTGATGAGGCGTCGCAGAAACCTACCCCACCGTGGAGGACACTATGATAGCATATGACATGGCCTCAAGCTCAAAAGCTAGAAAGTTGACCCCTGAAAAGAAGGAAGTACTGGTGTTGTGCTTGATCTTCTTTATACTTTTGGTTGTAATGTGACAGATTTAGCATCCTTTACTTTGGATGTAACATGGAATCAACTATTGCTTTATTCTTTTGGTTGTACATGGCAGCTACTACGGCCTTGTGCTTTTGGTTCTAAAACATGACACATAAGCATGGGCTCACCTCACTGTATACTAAAGGAGGCCACGACATGACATAGAGATGGGCACGATGGTGACTTTGATATGGGCCCTCAAAAAGTTGATGTAGCTATGCAGTTTCTAGGCAAAATGATAGGAACCACTCTGGAGAATTACGATTCCGACATTCAGTCAACCGACAGGTACATAAAGCCATCAATAACGTACAAAATTCCTACTTTGCAATGAATTACCATTGAACACTTAATGAACTCGGCAATGATGCGCAATGGAAATGACTTGTCAAACACCCATCTCTCCACACCATAGCTATCTTTTCCCCACAACCAAACAAAAAGCATCTCGTCATTGACGCCCTCAAAAGTTAAGTGCACGATACAGAGCTTCACGTCCTTGGTCTGTCCAAGTTTGAATGTAGTAAAGAACATCATATTCAAGGGCGGCGACATATCCATTTGGTGGAACAGAGATGTCCCTGCATTGAGCTCGAGCATGCTGGCTCCCTTAGAAAATATCTAGTAGATGAAACCATCAACCACCTTACCAGGGTTAGAGTTTTTGTCATCCTTGGGCACCAGGCCCAGGGCCTTCGTTTCCACCCAAGGGAAAATTAGCCACTTCATGGTGTTCGATGAGAAGACAGCGACGCACGACCGCGCCCAATAGTGGTCATGACAGATGCAGACCACACTCTGCAGCCCCTGGTCCTCCTGGTGAGAGTGTGTGGAACTCAAGGAAGCTGTTATCTGCCAAATTTGCCTATCGGGGAAGAGGGACAAGGCCTACCTCAGCTTGTTGTATCTGGCTCGCTGCTTTCGGTGGTGATCCGGATCTCACTGTCCAAGATGTAATCAAACTCCCACCCGGGGTCATCGTCGTGCTTGGGGCCGTACATGCGGCGGGTCTTGAAGAAATCGGCATCGCGGAAGGCGGCGATGAGGTCCGTGTCAGAGGGGCGCCAAGGGGAGGGGTAGACCCGGATCAGATTCATCTACATTTTGAGGAAAACACGAGGAGAGGCGGTGGGTGGAGCGAGCGGAAGCGGCGTCGGAAGGTGAGTGACGAGCGGACGGCGGAAGAAAAGCTAGGTCCCGGTCTACCCTTCCCTTGGCGCCCCTCTGACACGGACCTCGTCGCCGCCTTCCATGACGTCATTTTCTTTAAGACCCCCCGCATGTACGGCCCCAAGCACGATGATAACCTTGGGTGGGAGTTCGATTACATCTTGGACGACGAGATCCGCATCGCTCACCTGAAGCAGCGAGATTGATACAAACCGTTGAGGCAGGCCCTGCACCTCTTCCCCGGCAGGCAAATTTTGGCGGACAACAACTTCCTTGAGTTCCATACGCTCTACTACCAGGAGGACCAGCAGCTACATCGTGTGGTCTCCATCCGTCATGACCGCTATTGGGCGCGACACGCATAGCTGTCTTCTCATCGAACACAATGGAGTGGCAAATTTTCCCTTGGTGGAAACAACTGCCCTGGGCCTGGTGCCCAAGGATGAGAAAAACTCTAACCCTGGTAAGGTGGTTGATGGATCCATCTACTGAATATTTCCAAAGGGAGTTAGTATGCTCGTGCTCAATGCAATGACATCTCAGTTCCACCGAATGGATGTGGTGCCGCCTTTGAATATGATGTTCTTTACTACATTCAAGCTTGGCCAGACACAAGACGGGAAGCTCTGTATCGGGCACTTAAATTTTGAGGGCCTCAACGACGGGATGCTTTTTATTTGTTCATGGGGAAAGATAGCTATGGTGTGGAGAGTTGGGTGTTTGACAAGTCGTTTTCATTGCGCACCACTGTTGAGTTCATTAAGTGTTCAGTGGTAATTCATTCCAAATTAGGAATTTTGTCTGTTATTAATGGCTTTGTGTACATGTTGGTTGACTGTCATGAGTGTGCTGAATTTTGGAACCGTAATTCTCCAAAGTGGTTCCTATTATTTTGCCTGGAAACTACAGAGCTGCATCAGCTCTTTGAGGGCCCATATCAGAGTCATCATCATGCCCATCAGTATGTCATGTCGTGGCCTCCTTTGGTATACAATGAGGTGAGCCAATGCTTATGTGGTATGATTATGGTAAAATTTCTTCCTACCTTTGGTGTGGTCTCCAGATTGTATGATGCTATGTTACCTTAGAGCACTGGATTACCGTAGTCTTGTTAAAACTGTTATCGAACACTTGATTTCAGATACATGGCATGCCTGATTTTTTATCACCATTGCTCTATTTTCATTTTTTACCACGAGGTTTTGTGCAGATTAAGCACAGGGCACTCCTGATATTTGTATTTTGAAATTTTGTACACTAAAATGACTACATTACAATTGGCAACTACCATGAGATGATTACCGTGGAGCATTTTTACTTTTATTGCTTGTGTTAAATATAAAAGGTCGGTTTGTATCATTAGAATCTATAGCCTTCCATAAATGTACACTCGTATTTTTCTTTCTTTTTTCACAGGATGGTTACTAAAAACTGTGTTGCAGATGATAGTCCCATGCGCAAAGAAAAACCTTGCTCTATCCTTTATCACAACATTGCGATCTTTCAAAGAAGCTTTGAGTGATGATGATGAAGCAAATACTACCAAGGAAGCGGCCTTTTTCACAATTGAGGATGAGAAGATGTCTCTCGTGAGAAAATCGCTACTGTGGATGTACAATTGGCAAATGCAAGCGATCATGTCCTGTGGTTAAGTGTCGACTCTGCTAAAACCAATATACCATTTCTTAACGATGATTGCCACTTTTGCTTTCTATCACATATTTACAGTTAGATGGATGGTGAAGTTAGAGTGAGTTGAACTTACATTTCTAGCAGGATGCTTAATATTCAAAGGCTCGAGTTAGGTTCCGAATTCTATAAAATGGAGTAACTTAACCTACCATGGATAGTGATTTTTTTAGGGCCGCTGGTGCTCTACAGCGGGTGGTTGGATTTTTGGCAGTGACAAGTAAAGAGCAGCTGCACAGTTGTTTACAGCTGTTTGAGGGCGAGTTAATTTGCCTGTGCACTGTTAGTGTACACCTTATCTACGTACTCCCTCCGTTCCAAATTACTCGTCGTGGTTTTAGTTCAAACCACGATGAGTTTTGAACTAAAACCACGACGAGTAATTTGGAACGGAAGGAGTGGACGTCAAGGCATCATGGTTATGTGAACAACACCGCTAGTCGTTATTTGTTGAATGATTGCTTCATCTTTTGTGTATAGAGATGTAAGAGGACGACGTACGCTTGTCCGTGAAGCAAAAGCTGCACTAATATTCGTTACTTTAAAAATCCTGTTAGTTTATTTTTTCTTTTCATGGATGATCGCGGAAAAGCGGACTACATTGGAACCAGGAGATTTGCAGCGCATATGGATGTCAAATTTTCCAATCTTTGGTGCTAGAGCTATTGTGTTGTTTATCTTACCGGCCATCTTGAAGGTTCGCAAGGCTGCATATCAGCGATGGAGTCGCGTCGAGCTCGAGTCGTTTATCTTATCATTGGTCTCATTCAGAAGCTTGATCTAGTTAGGCCCTCCCTCCCTCCCTCCCGCGCCGCCACCCGCGAGGCGGCCGGGGAGGGCGCCCCGATCTCCTCCGCTCGGCCCCCTCTCCCTCCCTACTCCCCCTCGCCGCCGCTGGAGGGCGTGGCCGGGCGAAGCCCGGTCTGCGCAGGCGGCGGCGGGGCCTCCTTCGTCCCCTCGCGCGGGTGGTCAGGCGCGGGCCAGATCCGCCGGGCCTGGGCGCCGGACTGGATGACGGGTGCGGCGGCACGGCGTGCTGCGGAGTGGTCGGGCTCCTGGCGGCGGTGCGGCGGGAGTCATGGTGGTGGTCCTCGCCTCTTGGCGCGCGGGGCTGCTCCGGGGCGGCGGCGCGGGCATGTCCTGTGGGCGCGGCTTCGGCCTCCCC